TTAGGTTACTCTTGCTCTTCTATCTTTCGACTCGGTAGAATAAGGTGCTGTGCTGTAATTTCAAGTTATTCTGAGACTATTGAACCTGATTTTATGCATGGTAGAAAACTCAATAGCCAATGAAATATGTTACGGTACTGTTCGACCTGTAGTATAACCCTTGCCAAAGCTGGGTGTCCGTTTCGCTGTGAAGGATGCACGTATATACATTTGTAGCAACGTCCGGTTCTCTCTGCATGTTAAAGAATCCTCGCGACAACTATTCGAAGGGTCCTTAAGTGGCCTGTTGCCTGTCCCAATCAGGTGTAATACCTCCATTGATTTTCCTCTATTAGTCTTTGTTAAATTTGCACTTTTCAAAAAATTGTGCAGAATTTATCTTTGTTTCAAATAAAGAAATACTTGGCATGAGTAAAGTTTTATCCTGTCCAGTACTATAGAAAAAATTTCAGATAACATTTCATTGCATATAAGAAAATAACCATCACTGGAAGTTTACCAATCAAATGTTCACCTTTTATTAACCTGTGTACAAGCTTTAGTAACCATGTAACCTCAAGTTTCCAAAATCTTCTAAAGAAACCCCAAATAAAAAAAATATGGTGCTTTAAATACCCAAGATATATGTTTATGACCCAGAAATGATTTACTGCAATAAAATGTAGGATTATTTACCTACAACTGCCAAATTCAAGGGAATAGTTTGTTCGACCTATTTTCCTATGCAAATGCAACCGGATGTGACGTACTATGATTTGGTGGTATTACCCTATCAAATAAACCCAGTTAATAAATTCCAGTGGCATTCCAAATTTCCCGCCTTTCACCCATGTCGACAACCATTGCAGGCAATTGTTTTAATAGATAATTTGTTCTCGTCCGTCCTGAACATGCATGAAATATTTGTCATAGGACATAAATCAAGCAAAACAACAAATGAATCAATCTGTACGGTGTTACTAATGAAGATGAATAAAACAGACTGTTTAATTTTTCAAGCATGTACAAACATTTATTAAATTTATTCATGTTATATTAAAAGGTCATTACGGGTTTGCATTTGGTTCATTTCTTTTTTCTATGAATGACTTTGTAAAGTAATAATAGATGATGATGGTGATGGATCTGGTATTATTTAGTGTTAAATTAATCAGGCACCTGTTATAAGTGCTACTACTTAAAATAGAACATAATTTGCATTCATAAAGTAACATTATACCACTAGGGAAGGCAATGACCATATCACAGCACTCAAATGTTCTACAGAGCGAGTGTATAACTACACAAGGATTTAAAAAAATATGAAAATCGACCAATCAGCTTTAGACATCGCCAAATGGGGAATTTTCTATAAAAAAACATAAAAAAACCACCATCTAATCAATCAGTGTATACATCTTTAAAAGATGTTTTGTTTCACAATACAAGACACTTGAAACTTAATCAAGCAATATTAAGAATTTGCTCTGGTTACCTTCTTTATTGGAAAGATGAAAATCATTGTGAAACCAGTTGAACTATATTATATTTGGCTGTTATTTAAGAATTGAATGCTTCTTTTGTAAATTTATTGGGGTGTAAAAGCGTTGACCGAAGTACATTTTGTATGAAGCGCGGAAGCGCTTCATTCTAAAAATGTGCGCACGGTCGATGTTTTTTTTTCAACCCTATAAAATTACTAAAAGAAGCATTCAATACTTATAATTACATGTTTTTGCTAGGATCAGGAAACACAATTTCTATCAAGTTTTTCTTTTATTTACCTGTGCACTTTATTGTTAAAGATCGTGTTTTCATGAATGTTACATTTCATTTTGAAATCAAGGTTAATTTTAGAATGACGCGAGATTGCTGTTAGCCAATCAAAATAACGTATTAAAATGAAACATACATGTAATGTAATTATAATGAATTGAAGGTGCTGTATGATAATTCCTAATTATTGATTTCACACCCGATGAAAATCATGCCCTGTCCCATTTCCATATTTTTATAGACTCAAATAGGTGAATTTAAGATTAAAAAGAATGAAACACCAAAGATTGATAACAATAATAAACTGGCAAATAAAACTAATCAAAGTGACGTGCTGTTAACTCGGATGACCCCTAGATCTGATGACTGGAGAATAAATCATACAAATTTCCATCTCCCTGTAGACGTAGACGGCTGTCATACTTTGAGTGTCGAACATTTAAGCCACGTTTACATGTAAGATGATGACAAATTTACCAGTTTATCAAATGAGTAGGTTATGTGGACACAGAGGATCGAAAGGGACAATTGAAAAAGTGAAATGTGTTATACACTGTCTGAAAGCCGGATAATGCATTCAATAAATTCGCATTCCGATGACATGTGATTGTGTATAAAACCAAAACGTAAAACAGATTTCCCCCAATACGAGACTGGATAAGTTTAATAGAGTCAGGAATCTGATGTTCAGTTGTTGTCGTTTGTTGATGTGGTTCATAAGTGTTTCTCGTTTCTCGTTTTTTTTATATAGATTAGACCGTTGGTTTTCCCGTTTGAATGGTTTTACACTAGTAATTTTTGGGGCCCTTTATAGCTTGCTGTTCGGTGTGAGCCAAGGCTCCGTGTTGAAACCGTACTTTGACCTATAATGGTTTACTTTTATAAATTTTGACTTGGATGGAGAGTTGTCTCATTGGCACTCATACCACATCTTCTTATATCTATATAATTCTATACTCATTTGACCCTTCCTTGTGTAAATAGTATGCGGTGTCTGTTTTTCTTATTTTCAGCATTGTCTTTTTTGTTCTTTGATTAGTTTGCATAGTTTCAATTTTAAAGGCAAGACCTCATCAATTTCTTAATCATGCCATGATTAAACTCATGCATAAAATATTAAATGCATGTACTTTATTAAATTTTTATAACAGCAATTGACATTGTTTAAGTTAAATAAATAAATTGTTCTAACGGAAGAGGTAACTCACAGAAGCCTATTTTGGCTTAATCAATAGTGGTTCCGGGAACTTTCAAAAAGAGGGAGTGGTAACATGTGAATAAGGGGAGGAGGAAGGAGGCAAACCTTAGTTTACTATCATTATAATGTTTACTTGATTTCCAAACAGTTTAAATACATTGGAACTTGTGAACCCCATATCTTTTTACTGGTCCATTTTCCTTACAACTAAAAATCATGTTTTAACATTTCTTTGATTTTTCGTTGATATTATCAGTATAAATGGGCATTGATTTTTGTAATATACCTGAAGTTATGAACATTTTTCTCTTTTCTCAATCGGTTGATATGAATAAGGAGATATTCAGTAAAAGCTTGGAATAGTCAATGTATTATGTCCCAGGTAAAAGTCAGAAGGGCAGCTACGCATAAGATTAACACGCATAGCCATCTATTGACTTTTTTGCGATATTGTTGGAAACAACTGTTCGGCTGTTTGTTGGGCTTCAGACATTGGAATAAAGTGTCTGCATTAAAGTCAAGGGTGTAGGAGCCGGGAGTGGGGCAAGGAGGACAAACTATGTTAATGCCCATCAAACTTTTTGGCAAAAAAAATATTGAACACAAAAAAACGAAAACGAAAAAGGACCATGACTTACTTCTAGACTATTTATAGAATACAGAAAAGGTATTTATTTATTTTTCCTTTTTTATTTTCACTTTCAGAAGTTTGTCCCCCTCTCCCATTTTTCAGTTTTATCCTACACCGTTGAAAGTTGTTACACGGACTCGAGTGCACGAACATATATGACTGATACCTTATTATTAATTCATATATTGTTATTTTGTTATCGAAATCATTAAAATTCGCTAAACCTGGTCCAATATTCCGCTAAAAGCTTTAATTATTCGGTTTTTTGTTTGTCTCTTTCAATAAATTAAATTTTGGAGGAAACAAATCATATATAACTAAAGAGACGGAAGATACGACCAAGAGAACATCTAAAACTCATGTCGAAGAGACAACGTCTTGGCAAAAAACGGAAGACACCGAAAAGTCGGTAAATTTTGATGGAAAATATTTGTTTTCCGATGATTTTGTCGTGTATAGATAACATAAAACAGTTGTTTTTTTCCAAATTGCAGATTGAAAGCTTGATTTTACTTCTTTTAATTCTTTCGGTTGCTCATACTTGAATGAGTACCAGAATGAAGATAACCTGTTGATAAATATAATCCGGGATCGAAAGTCGGTAATATCAAATAGTGATACCTGATCAAATGTAACTTATAACTGTGACGCTTCTCTACTATTTAACCTTTGACTGGTATACGTCATCAAATCAAGAATCAACCGGCGTGCACAGATATTCATGATTGTTTGAGTAATTTTTCTCACCACAAAACATTATAGTGTTGATATCATAAATAAATGCTCTTAACAAAATTATTGTCATGAAATGAAAAGCATCACACTCAGAGAAATCAATAAGCCATTCGGAACAGCATAATTCTTCCCCTTCGCTTAATTGTTCAGTAAAACTAATACAGTTTTCAAATAACTGAAATTGGGAGATTTCACTACAGATTTCATTGGAGTAATAATTAAAAAGCACTGCCGTACTGTAAACTCGGGTGACTCCAAGACCTTATGGCTGGCAAATAAATTCTGCAGATATCAATCTCCCTGTAGACTGTTAGAAGTAACTTTCAGTTGTTTTCTTACGTCCAGTCTCAAATAAAATTGAGGACAAAATAAAATATTTAACATATGACACATAGAAACTTTGTAACATAAGGTATCGGCATACAAGGTACGAAGAATCCAGGAGAGTTGTCTCATTGGCACTCATGTCACATCTTCTTATTTATACATGTACTAACAGGTACCAATTTGGTAAGTTTTATGGGCACAAATGGTTGACATCGAAAAGGACAACTGAAAGAGAAAATATTTAAAAATCTATCATGTGTGTTTTGTCTTCTCTATTTTGTATACGTGACATATCATTTATATAAGATTGTCCTTTCTCATAATAAAACCCAGTGATCTCATAAACTTTCTTACCTGCAATAAAGAAAATTATTTGAAAAGTAATGATTGAAATAATCAGCTCCTTCATAATTACTATCCGAACACTTCCCGTTCTAAAACGCTGACGTTCCAGTCAAATACTTTCCAATAGTCTCTAAACAAAAGAACATTTTATATCTTGTTTGATATAATTTATTGCACAGATGTAATGACCTTTTGTGACAGGTGACGAATACAACCGTCAGGTTAACGAAATATCATGATCATCACGGTATGTATAGTGTCTGGCTGAGATCGTGTTTTTTTTCGAGTGAATCGGTACCCTTTTTCGAGTGTAGACCAGCTTTTTTTCGAGTAATGTTACATGCGATCAGATCGACTTACTGCTATTTCCCGAGTATAATAATTTTATTCATGACTGTTCATCTTATTCTGAATACTATAATGCTTTGAGCACAATTGACGCACAATTTCCTTGTATAAAAATAAGAAGATGTGGTATAATTGCCAATGAGACAACACTCCTTGATGCTTCATACCTAATATGCAGATACCTTATGTTACGAAGTTTCCGTCTGTCATATGTCCATTGTCCTTGACCTCATTTTCGTTGTTCAGCGACTCTTGAAAAAAATAAAGTTTTTTTGACATGTGAATTGCTCACATATTATGAGTAATAGGATAACATATCAGCGTGTGCACTCCTGTTTAATAAATTGTCCTGTTTTTTTTAAAGAAAATGTGAGTAAGAAAGACGGCATTGTTGGGCTTAAAACAGACTTTTCTAGTTTGTAAATGTAGCGAATGAAAATATTATATACCAGTCAAAAAAAAAAAGAAACGTCACATCAGTTTTTATTAATATTTTCGAAAACTTCGTGCAAAATTAAGTATCTTGTGTCTGAACATTGAAAGTTATTTTGTACTCTTATTAGTTTTTGTCGATTAAATATGTACTGGAATGTTGTAACTTCGTTTGTCGAAATTGACGTTTTTTATTGTTTTTTTAGGTCTTTCCACTTTTCGGTGGAAAGACCTATTGTATTTGTTCTGATTATTAGGTCTTTCCACTTTTCTGTGGAAAGACCTATTGGTTTTCTTCTGATTATTATTATTATTTTTTTCTTCTTCCGCCACTTTTTTCTGACGGTGCTTTTTTGTTTCGCAAGATGTCGCTTAGATTTTTTGCATATGATATCGAATAGTTATTACGATTTTGAAACTGACCCTGTTAAGCCGAACACTTTTTATTGTAAGAGTTATCTCCCCAAACACTGTTTTTCTTGTGTACAAATCTCCTTCGCAACCGTTAAAGATTACGACAAAATTATTTCACCAATTTGCTTGTTATATCTTCAGGATCTTACAAATAATTTTGACCGAAGCGGTCCTGAGACTACATATGAGAGTTATTTCCCCTTTTGTATTTTTAATAAGAAAAATGTAGTTGTAGCTGGTAAACCATAAGTGATAAAGACCTAGCGTCTTTTGATTTGAGATCCTTGGTCCAAAAGAAAGAAAATAGGGTCAAGGTCAAAGGTCAAGGTCATTTCTAAATTTGGATTTTGGCTTATTTTCACCATTTTTCAAACACGATATAGGATATCGACAGCATATTTTTACTTAATTGTTAGTTGTGACATGTCGTAACACATACATGTTGGTTTAAAGGGTGCGCCTACATCAAATTAGAGTTTTCTCCCCTCTTTATTTAAAAATATGCATATGGTGATATAACTCATGAACCAAATATAATTAAGATCTAGGGTCTTTTGATTTGAGGTCCTTGGTTGATGACCTTGAAATTGAGCTCAAGGTCATAGATTAAATTGACGTTCTAGATTTTGACCTTTGCTTTGACCTCGTTTGTATACATGATAAAGCCATGGGACTTTTTGCATTTAGTTGCAAGCCATATGACCTTGAAAAAGGAACCGGAAGTGACCCTGTGTAAACCGGAAGTAGCTATTTTTTGTACTTTTTGAATGTAAAAGTATATAGAACCATATATTTTTGGAATCAGTGTCAATTAAACAGTTAAATAATACCGGAAGTAACCTTTTTCAAGCCGGAAGTAACAAATTATCTCCCTTATTTAAAAAATATTGTATAGAAACCATATATTTTTGGAATCAGCGTACTATCAGTTATCATTTGAAGCTGTTAATGACATTTTAAACCGAATTTTTAGTATTTTCATATCAAAATATTTGTTTTTTTTGTGGAAAGACCTTCAATTGTTCAGAGAACAATTGGTTTTTAATTATTATTTATTTTTTTTTCTTCTTCCGCCACTTTTATTTCTTGCGTATAAATTTTGTTTCGCAAGATGTCGCTTAGATGTTTGGTATATGATATCGAACAGTTTATGCGCCTTTGGAATTCACCCAGCGTAACCGAATACTTTTCTTTGTAGGAGTTATCTCCCCGAACACTGTTTTCCTTGTGACTGCATCTCCTCTGAAACCGTAAAAGAAAGCGACAAATTTATTTTATAAAATTGCTCGTTATATCCTTCGCATGATTTGTCCTATTTTGACCGAAGCAATATGAACACTCCATATGAGAGTTATTTCCCCTTATGCGTTTGTTTTTAGTGATATGCATTTCTATCTTGTAAAACATAAGTGATAGAGACCTAGGATCTTTTGATTTGAGGTCCTTGATCCAAAAAAAAAGAAAATAAGGTCAAGGTCAGAGGTCAAGGTCATATTTTAAATTTTGATTTTGGCTTATTTTCACTTCTTTTCAAAAACCGTATAAGATATCGACAAGATATTTTTACTAAATTGTAAGTTGCGACATGTCGTAACACATAAATTTTGGTTGAAATGGTACGCTAACATTAAATTGGAGTTTTCTCCCCTCTTATGTTAAAAATTAGGCGTAAAGTGATATAACTCATTAACCATATATAATTAAGACCTATGGTCTTTTGATTTGAAGCCCTCGGTTTATGACCTTGAAATTGAGCTAAAGGTCATAGGTAAATTTGACGTTCTAGATTTTGATCTTTGCTTTTTCCTCGTTAGTATACGTGATAAAGCCATAGGACTTTTTGCATTACGTTGCAAGCCACTTGACCATGGAAAAGCCAACCGGAAATGACCTTGTGTAAACCGTAAGTAGCTATTTTGTGTACTTATTTAATGTAAAAGTATATTAAACCATATATTTTTGGAATCAGTATCAAGTAAACTATCAAATAAAACCGGAAGTGACATCTTTCAAACCGGAAGTAACAATTTATCTTCCTTATTTTGAAAAAAATGTATAGAAATCATGTATTTTTGGAATCAGTGTACAATAAACTATCATTAAACGCTGAATATGATATTTTAAACCAAATTTTAATAGTTCTATTTCAAAATAGATCTTTATGAGTGGAAAGACCTTCAATTGTTCTCTGAACAATTGGTTTTTAATTGTTTTTGTTTTTGTTTTTACTTATTTCTTTAAGCTTCATCCCGGTGTGTTTGAAGTGTTATGATTGTCACAAATTGTGTCATTGAAATCTGTAAACCATTTGAATTACACGAAATTCAACGTCCCCTTCTGAAACGACGTCACAGAGTTTCCCTGCTTCAATGATGTCTTTATCTTTATAGAGGTTGATTCTTGAAATATTTGTTCATTATTATCAAATAATGATGTTATCTTATAAATTAAATGATATTTTTTATTACTAGTATATATGTAAATGCTCCGACTTTGTTCCGACGTTGGAAAGTTCCGGGCGGAAAGAACCAACTAGCCGAAAAGTTCCGGAGGAACTTATTAACTAGTTACTTTGTTCTTCCTCTGGTTTAAAAGTTCCACCGGAACAAAGTGACTAGTTGAAAAGTTCCAACGGAACATATCAACTAGTTAGAAAGTTCCTTTTTGCCAAATTAGTCAAAACCGGAACGAACAAACTAGCCCAAAAGTTCCAACGGAACTTATCAACCAGGCAGAAAGTTCCATTTGGAGAATTGATGCAAAGTAAAAGCGCAACATATTATATTTGAACCTTTCAAAGGGAAACCAAGATACTGATTACAAAAGTCAAATGGAACTTATCAACTAGCCACAAAGTTCCTCTTTGGCAAATAAGTCAAAACCGGAACTAACAAACTAGCCCAAAAGTTCCAATGGAACTTATCAACCAATCACAAAGTTCCATTTGGAGAATTGATGCAAAGAACCACATGAGGAGGGGGTATTCTTCCCTCTCTTGAGGGTACTATGAATACTAAATTTGCATGATAATGCAACTTATTCCGTTTTATGTGAGCTATGAAATACAACTTAAATTTTGCATATTTGTCCCCAAAGAAACCCCTTTCAGTGCGTTGGGTAATCTTGTAAATTAATGATTTGCTCTTATATATACCGATACTCATTCTTCCCCCTCTTTCTACAAAAAGGACGAAATATGGTATATTCGGAACGATGTAACTAGTTGTTCTGTTCCGCCAGAACTATTCAACTAGCTACATTGTTCCGGGACTTTTCGACTAGCTACTTTTTTCCGAAACTTTTCGACTGCAAGTAGAATAAAACAACTAGTTGGAAAGTTCCATCGGAACGAAATAACTAGTTGAAAAGTTCCGCCGGAACAAAGTAACTGACGGAACATAGTGGCTGTTACATATATTCTTGATAAATTATCACAAAAACATATTACTAAGCTGATCATATTTAACCCTTTTCAATCAAATGATAATTTTCTGCTCTGAAAACATTTTACTATAACCTTGCAGTATTTAAATATATTAGAAATAACTGGATCCTTTATAAAACTGTCTTTATAACCGACGGAACAGGGGATTCATAATCTTTTATAATTTATTTCATGCTACATTTTGTTTTTACAGTGAATAACATTTTATGATTTATATATTATATTACATTGGCGAATCCTGGAGTTATGGGTAAGAAAACTAATGGACAGCAGTAATAAATCAGTAAAAAGCAATATAAACACACATTCTACTATGAGAGCCCTGGGGTCAGCTCCCCCCCCCCCCCCCCCAAAAAAAACCAAACTTAAACCGCCCCTGTACCCGTTGACAATAAATATGGAATCGAATGGAATATATAATAAAAAATGAAATAAATAATCGATAAGCTTTGATATGATCCTTTTGAAATAATAATAAGAAAAAAATATGTATATAAGAGCGTA